ATTGACTCTTCCCTGAAAAACCAGTAAGGTTAGATAGAAACCAGAAAGGTCCTGAGAGAAAAAAAGAAAACTTTTTTTTCAAGAAGAAAGGAGTGACAAACTCTGCCAAATGCTAGATAGGTCAGATGAGAGAAAGCCTGAGAATTCATCATCAGCTTTAAAACACAGAGGCCGCTGGCTACCCTTTGCATGAGTAACAGGAAAGGGTTAAAGAGGGAGTGGAAGTGAAGACATAGAATCAGTAAGAGGAGATAAACTTTGTTTTGCTCGGTTTTATTGCAAAGGAGTGACGATAGATGGGTAACAGCTAGAAGAAAGTAAGGGGGGTGTGTGTGTGTGTGTGTATTGTTTTGGGTTTGATATTTATTTATTCTCTTTTTATATAGGGTCTCATGTAGCCTAGGTTGGCCTCAAACTCCTTAAGCGGCTAAGATTGACCTTGAACTCCTGATCCTCCTGCCCTCACCTCTCTAGTGCTGGAATGACAGGCCTGTGATACCTGTCTACCTTTAGATTCATTTTTGGAAGGTAGGAGACATTAAACCATTACTTTTTATTACATTTCTTTATTGGGGGAGAGGCGGAGGCATATGTGCAGGTCAGAGAACAACTTATAGGAGTTTATTCCCTCCTATTATGTGGGTCCTGCTGAGCCATATTGTTGGCCTTTAAACTTCGGTTTGATGCTGCTGTGTATGACCCAATAATGAGAAAAACTGATGGTCAGAGGATGAATTTGTAGAGATACGTTCTTGAATAAGTTCATGGATGAGACTGACTCTAGACAAGCAGGGGCAGTCCGCTGTCCTGGGCATTGAACCCAGGGCCTTCTGCATGCTAAACATCCTTTCTACCATTGATTTACACCCCCATCCCAGAGCAGAGACAGTTTGTAGTAAGTAGAGGGAAGGCAAAATGCAGCAGAGATCGACATTGGTAAGTGGGGCCACTGATGTCACCTTCTTTTTCTCAGCACACGTGACATTTCCTAGGTAATTCTAGTAAATGTGAAGGTTTAAAATCACCAGGCCACAGCTAGAACTGTGCAACCTAGATAGCCTGTTGCTTCCTGCCCCAGGTCTGCACCTGCATATTGAATTTCATGTCTGACACAGAACAAAGGTATTTCTAGAACAGCCTGAAGTGACAGTGAAGGGGGAGTGGCCTCTAATTCATAGGCCTGAGGCCTTGGGCTGCAACAGTTCTCAGCTTCCTTCCTAATGGAATAAGCTTCATATATATATATATATATATGTGGAAATTGGGGAGAGAAGGAAAGAGAAGGAGAAGGAGAGAGGGAGGGAGAGAGGGAGAAAAGAGAGCAATATTATCAAACTACTGACAGATGCTTGCTTGTTTCTATGTCTTTGCTGATGAGGCTCAATCATTTAAAGTCAGGGTTTGGGACTGTTTTCAATCCCATCTAGTCCTTATCCCTGGGAGATAGGCAACATGCAACCACACTGGCCTCATGGATGTGAATGCCCCATTGGAGCAGAGGCATAGAGTCGGGGGAAACCACTGGGTGCTATGGGCTGCTTCTTCCTCCCCACTACCTAAGCCCAGGTCAAAGTGGGATCCTTGGGATGAATCTGGCAGGCATGGTACTTTCCGCTCCCTGAAGCACCTCTGCCCCCAAATCATCCAGGGTTATCATAGGTGTCAGCAAGAGGTACAGCTTGTGGTGTCCAGACATGGGCAGTGGAGCATAGAACCCAATGATCTGGTGAACTTCTCTGACTCCTGAGTTCTGGACAGTTACTCTCATTGATTGACACTACTTCCTCCAGGTGTTTCTTCAGGAGTTTCCTGAGAGCAGGGCCCACAGGAGGACTCCATATAAAAAACTTGATGAGAGAAGCCTAGATAGATACCCCAGTTCTTACTCATTCTCCCAGAACTGTGCAGCAATGGACTCTGGTATTCAAATGCATATGTCAAAGTCTGGGGTGCTATGGTTTGGAGGAAGGCCATTTGCTATGCATGAACCGTTCACGCATGCTCATCACATGAAGAAGATTACGTTTCCCCAGTTGCGAAATGGGATAGATTACTCATGTGAACAAGTGCACTGCTCCAAAGAGCAGTTTCCAGACCCCAGACACTGAACTAAAACACGTAAGAAAGGAGACTGGAGCTTCCCATCTCTTTCCATCAGCCTCTCCATTCCCTCTCACTAGCCCTTTATCTCACACTGGTGGGTTAGCCCTTCTCTTTTGGATAAAGTGAACATCTTGGGGCCTCTTTTTCTTTCTCCCTGGAAGAGATGTTATAAAAATGAATATATCAACACAGAACACTTCACATTTATGCATACTTGCTGAATTGATAATACTTATTTGTAATGAAAATTAAGCAAGCAGGATGTTAAAATGTTCTTTGGGGAAGGCACACTGAAATGTCTTACCACAGATGTACACCATCTTTACCCCTACCTTTTCTGTTAGGCTAATGCAGGTTCAGATAACAGCTGTCTCTAACTTAGCATATAGTCCTAAACCTCCCAACTACCTACATAATATGATTAATGAGAATTTTATCTGCAGAGTAATTACAGCTACCATCTGTTACCTTTCATAGGACCACCACTGAGTTAATAGCTTAATACCTTTTCCAATGCAATTTTTACATTTTTACCAATGTTACAGTTAGCACAGTTATATAATCCACACATGATTTTTAAGTTATTGAGCACCTATTTAGCACCTGAAATTGTACCACTCTGGCGAGGATGAAGCAGAATCTATGAGATGTCCAAAGCAGTTCTCGGTCTGAACACTTTGGTTGGGGGTGGGGGTGGGGGTGGGGGTGTGAAGACGGAGGAGGGGTGTAACGGGCACCTAAAGCCACTAGTGACCTCATTGTACAATATTCTGGTTTTCACATTTTTCTCTGCCTAGGAAAACAGCTCCCCAACTATTCTAAGGAGATGCAGTGACGCATCTACTTGGTGAGGCTCTTGGTTTGCTGGAAAGCATCACAAACACCAGAAATTACCAAAGTTATGGGTCTGGTGGCTTCCCCTGTTCTTTCCCTGTGGTTCCCAAAGTCTTGGTTCTCATCTGTTAGTTTTTCTTCGGCGTATCAGTCCGGATGCTCAGCCCAGACACCCCCCTGCACATCCGAGTCTGGCTAGCTAGGTGCCCTCAGAGGCCCTCGACCCAGCTCCCGCCCCCGCGGGTCTTCCCCTGGGGCCTGGAGCACTCCAGTTCCAGCCGGCTCCTTCTCTCCGCCCTCGGTCTCTGCCATAACCACCACAGGGGCCGGCCTCGGGGTAAAGGCCAGGCTCCGGTCGGGGTTCACCTCGGGCACGGGGCCTGGGGGGGATCCCCACCGCGCGCAGGAGTGAGGACCCGTTTCTAGGGTGACCGGGGACCCTGGAGAGCAGGTGCCCGGGCGGGAAGGCCAAGCTGCCCCGGGACGCGGCTCCACGAGGAAGTGCGGGCGCCAGGCTGCCCAGGTGAGGCTGCCCCCGGGTCTGGGTGGCGGCCGGCGGCCCCCAGCGCTGTCCCCGCGCAGTCCCCGGGGCGCGGCCGCCGCAGCAGGTGGGGGTCGGGCGGGGCGGGGCTGTGGGCGGAGCCGCAGCGGCGGTGGCAGCGGAGCGGGCGGGGGCCGGGCCGCGCCGGAGCCGCGAGCCGGACTGTCGGGGCGCGAGCGGGAGCTTGTCCGCTGGGGCTGGAACAGGGGCCGAGAGCGCCCTCGCCGCCGCAGACAAAGGGCTGCCGCGCTCTGTCCACCTCGGTGAGTGGCTCCTGTCCGCCCGCTTTCTTCTCCGGCTGCCGGCGCCTCCCGGAGTTCCTTGGGCTCCGGGGAAGCTGGGAGCAGCGAGGACCGTACTTCCCCCGCTCGCTCTGCACCCCAGCTTCACCGAAACGACCCGCCAAGGCGAAGCTGACACCTAACTCGCCACTTTGCGCGCGGCCGGCGGTCTCCCGCGGGACCCACCCCGGCCGCCCTCGGTGACCTCTTCCTCCGCGGACCGCGCGCGGGTGCTGTCCCTGGGTCCCCAGTTTGGGTGCCAAGGTTGCCCTGGGCTCCCCTGTGGGTGTGCATGAGGAAGGGGACACCGCGGATGGGCTCCACTAGGGCCCCCACCCCTTGGGGACAGTCCCGTGCGTTGGGGTCGCCGAGGGGCGGTTCACGAGTTCTGTCTGGGATCGTGGTCGTGGGGGTCTGGCTCAGCCCCCTGTTAGCCTCTCCTCCAGCTTCTTTCCCTGTTCAAGGGTTAATGTAGCATCCTGACCCTGCCCCACCCGACAGGGGTGCCCACTCTGCGGCTCTGTGGCCCGGGGAGGGAGGGAACCCCGCCGCTTCCCCTGGCTGGGCGACGCGGAGCTGGCAATTGCTGGCGAGAGCCGGCAGTGCGGCCAGCGGCTGGGCTGACATCACAGCTCGTCCCGCCCGGCTCACCCGGCCTCTTGCCGGGCTGATCTTCACCAGAAAAGCATTCGGAAATCCAGCAGGCTTTTGCTTTTGTTCTGCACGCTACTCTTTGGAATCCTAGGAGAAGCCTGGGTGGGTGGATACCCGAGAGGCGGCTGTGGTGGGAGTTCCAGGTGCAGCTCTGAAGTGACAATTGCTGGAGGAGGCGGTTTCCCACCCCTGAGCTGGGGAGTGGATTCCTATTGCTCATCAATACCCCAAGCCTGAGCCAGGGTTGAGGGAGTCCGGGATGTGCACGGTGCTGGCTCTGTCACGAGCCTCTCCAGCACTCTCGTAAGCGCTACCCGGGACGGGCATTTCCATTCATGGATCTGTGCCTGGGATTTGATTAACGTCATCTCTGCCAGGTTCTCCAAGAACGAGTGTGGGCTACTATATGATTCATAGCTGTACCAGCTTAATTTAAAAGATATTGAGCACTCACTACGTGCAAATCTGATGTACCACGACCGTTTAGCAGTTACTTGCAGAGTACTTACCGTGCTTAAGGAAGCTGTGCTTTGACTCTCTTGGTGTAATGGTTGTTTACTGAGCTCCTGATACACGCTAAGGTCATTTTTGGCCGAAGGGCTGCCCAGTGTTCTTGGAAGAGGGAAGAAGAGAGGGAGACTATATCGTCTTCTGACCTTTGGGTCTTCAACTTCTTGAGTAAGCTACATTTTAACTTTACAGACTACTTCTGGTGTGGTGTAATGGGAAGAGCTAGCTGATCTTCTACACTTGAGGGTAACTTTTTATGCTTGAAAGCTTGAGGGTTGGCCAGACAGGAGCAAAGCAGAATAATGAAAAGAGTGAAGAACTTTTCTAAATATAACAGGATCAAAGTTTAACATGGCAAAACTATAGTGCTCAAAATGATGGAGGTTCTCTGTTGAGGGAGGAAAGACAGACAAAGGGACAACCAACTCAGAAAGCAATGGACTGATATGAAGGGGAGAAAGATCAGCCGACTGGACCTTCAGCCCTCCAGCTCTACATTGGCACCAGGAGCATTGGGGTGAGTGTCTTTATAATTACATCCTTGGAAACCAGGGGGTGGTAGCACATGCCCTCATTTTGAGTACTCAGGAGGCAGAGGGTGGCTCTCTGTGAGGCTGAGGCTAGCCTGGTCTACTTATCTAGTTCCAGACCAGCTGGGGCTAAACAGGGAGACCCTGTCTCAAAACAAACTAAAATGAAATTCCATACTTGAATGTGTCTGGGGACCTAGGGGCCATATCAAACATCTGAGAGACCTGTTAAGAGATTTGATGAATTACCCCAGGATCTAGATTCAGATTGGCCAGAGTATTATAGATCCTCAGGATAGTGACAAATATTTGAGCACTACCGTGTTATGTCAGCTGCTATCAGGGAAATGTAATCCAAGATTTACAGTCTTTGCCCTAAAGGGCCTAACAGAGTTCATGAGATTAACTTAAGTAATGTCATCTTGGCAACAAAATGAAAAGCCAGGAGCATGTCACACACAAAGAATTGTGACCTCATAGAATTGGGGCTTTTCTTTTATCAGTTGTTGAGAATCTCCATGTGTGCTGTGTGTTTATCTTTGACACTGACTTAACAGCAGTTTCTTGTAACTTCTTTTTCCCAGCTTCTTGATACAATGAGCTTTTTCTTTCAAAAATTATTTCTGATCCCTATTTTAAATTCTTTTTAAATTGCATTATGATTTTTGTTATGAACTTGAACGCCCCCCTCAGGTTTTTTCCTGGAAGTAGGCACATTATGCAAGCTGCATAGAAAACATGGTAAGCACTAGATAAATGTTCTTGGAGGCTCTGTACTTGCTAATGAAGAAAGGGAAGAAAGACCCAAGGAGACCAACAGCAAGAATCTATAGAGAAAACACAAGCTGGCACTGTAAGACGAAGCAGGATTCCGGTTGAGGACAATGGTGTTTAGAGCCTTTAGAATCTGATAGGTCTTCATCTGCAGTGCTTTCTACTCATTCAACAGAAATGTTTCCTGGGTGGTTTACTGAGTGTCACAGTCTGTGCTAGGTGTCCAGTGGGGGTTCTACCCAGCATTCTAAGGTTCCCAGAGATGCTCCAGCTCCAAGACTCTTGACTCTTGCCCCAGCATTGGAATACCCTGCACTCCACTGTTCTTTCAAACATTCCTGGAGTGTTTTCACCTGAGCTGAACTTGACTATAATCTTCTAGGCCAAGAATGTGACTTCTTTTCTCTTGGCATCAGTCCCTCCCCCCAGGCTACTGCAGATTCTGTAGAGTGGGTGACACTTCCCTGTTTCCTGCTGCCCACTTCCTTACCTTTTCGCTCCCTCCTCAGGTCCTGCTGCTGTGCTCTTCACCATTTTCAGTGGTTCCAGGCTTTTGGCTACATGAACACTGGTCCCAGGGGAAAACCAATTTGCCACCCAGCACTTTCTCTGCATATGAATGTAGATCACTGGTCTCTTTGTTTTTAAAGTCTTATTGTTTGAAAAGCTGCATCTATGGTGAAGGGATGTCATCAGGTACAGACAAGCAGGTGTTGGAAGTAAGTGGGGAGGCAAGGTCCCTTTTCTGGCACTCCTGAAATGATGCCATACTGGCCAGCGTCCTTACAGACCCATGATCCATCAAAGTCTGGAGACTTTGTTCTTTTTTTACTGCAGGGTCTCTGATATATAACCTAGTCTGACTGATCGTGAACTTGAATTCTTCCTGCCTGAGCTTCCTGAGTGCTGGGATTACAGACATGCACCACTATATGCCTCTCTCTCTCTCTCTCTCTCTCTCTCTCTCTCTCTCTCTCTCTCTCATATAATTTCCATTTATTCCCTCTTGGAGGTTTCATTACTTTTTATCATGGGGTGGTTAGTTGATATCAGACAGTAGCTGTTTGTGTAGTTGATATCAGACAGTAGCTGTTTGTGAGCTACCTGTCAACCTGGCCTTTACATACTCTCTTCCAAGGTCTATAGATTTGTTGTTTTGCAGCGGGAAATATGCTCCTTTCTCCATACATGCCCACTACTTGAAGGCAGAAATTCATAACCTGGCACTCTGATGCTGTGGTTCCTTGTTATGGGAATAGGAAAGGCTATCCTCATGTCATTATAACATCCCTGGCTTCTACCCATCCAATGCTAATAGCACTCTATAGACACCCTCCAAATTGTGATAGCAAAAATTATCTCTAGATATTGACAAATGACCCCTGTAAGAAAAATCATCCCTGTCGGAGGACCACTGTTTTAAGAGGTATTGGATATTATGTGTCATGTTGTAACATAACTATTTCTGGGAGAGGCTTTATTTAGTGTAACCTGGTTCTTTTCAGTAGAGGTGAGTTAATACTTGTATGATAAACTTTGTACAACTTTCCATATAAATAATTCCAGATCATAATAAATATTCTCTGTCAGACTACATATTCTAATGTAGTCATCATATTATTAATTCATCTTTTGAGGCAAGTCTTCCCCTGTTACAGTCTTCCCCTAGCATATAGCCAACTTATCTACCAGAAGTGTGGGTAACAGAACCATCATTGGCAGTGACTAGAGCCCAGGGGGCATCCGAACCTGCAGTTTAGGCAGTGGCTGGTGGGCACCAACAGGGCAGGGAAGTGGTAGGGGAAGTTAGCTTCTGTGGGGATTTGCTTACGTAATTTGGGGGTGTCCTATTTAAGAAAAAAGCATAACGACCAGGCCTTGGATCCGTCCTCTAATGACCAAGTAAGGGGCTATGAATCTAAACTTCAGTTGGCTTCAAGGTAAAGGTGTCTCTGGGAAAGAGGTTGAGAAATGATTCAAGTATATTAGAATTAGACACTAGAAACTTTCTTCTGCCTACAACCTGCAGAGCTTCAAGAAGCTTCTGGTTTTGACTTAAATCAAGAACATCAATCAAACTTAGAATTGTTAACTATAGAGTCACCTGTTCTGCTAATATCTGTCCTCAAAATTAAAACTTGCATATCTTCAGCATTTGCTGAAGCATCAGCATCAGCACCAACAGCATCTTTGAAGGATGGAATGAGGGTGCAAGTTCAAGTTCAGCAGAGTTCAAGTTGTAGTGGTAGATAGAAATCACTTGTTGCTCCTTGTAAGTAAGGGTGAGCAGCACCCAACTTACTGCTTCAGAAAGTGAATGAAGCATGTCCTAAGGTCATAGAGAGGAAATGGAAAAGTTTATAGTAAAAGTTCATTGATTTAGACTTCTCTTGCAACACCCGCTCTCAGAGTGAGACTTTTCCTTGCATTAAAATGAGATAAATGGGAAATATCTGTCCTCTTTTGGGGAGGCATAAACAATTTAAGCACTTAAAATAATAGAACATTAAAACTTTATTTCAGTCTTTTAATTAATTCATTAATTAATCATTTGCCTTAGTTTAGGGCAACCTAGCTTTTTATATAAATGCACCTGGCTCTGGATGAGGTTAATCTGTTAATGTATCATTGCCTAGATTAATTAAAAGCAAAACTGCTCTCTACATGAAGTTTTGCTATAGCAGGCATTTAAAAAGTGATCATCTTCCTTTTCTATTTAAATTGGCTTGGTTTTTATCAACATTTCCAAGAGACTGTTCATGTTCATAGAAAGGAGATCTGAAAGAGATTCAAGGGGTCCCTGACCAGCCCTCCTTACCCATTGTTTAAGTGGGAAAACTCAGGTTGAGCAGTTAGAGGTCTTACCAAGGTCACACAGAGCTCAGTGAGGAGGCTGGAGCCAGCAGCCAGGAGTCTTCCCCATCCTCCAGGAACTCAGTGTCTTCCTGGTTGCCAGAGTTTGTTGGTGGAAGGGGACCAGGCAGGAAAAGGGTTTAATTATTCGCCTCATTTCCAGGACATCTCATCCTGGGAGAACAACTCATAGATTCAAACTAATTACATTGGTGTCAGAGGTATGTGTACACACTCATAGTACTGAAAAGAACCACAGGACAATTCAAAGAGCTGGGTTGATGGAATGGAATTATTTTATAAAATTTCCTTTAGTGTTCTTTTATATCATCTTTATAGTAAATAAAAGAATGAGAATGCTTGTTTTCCTATTTGGGAAAGTAACACATTTATCCTTGGAAGTATCAAGAAGAGTAAACAAATCTTGTGATACTTTGACCCCCCACTCATATTTTGCTGTTTATTTTTAATGATTTCCTTTAAAATGATTTCATTTTAAAATGCAGTTGAATAATTGAGACCATACTGTACATATAATTTTAATCCCCTTTTAGTTAATATTAGAACAAACACAATCTATGATACAAACTCTTTGTAAACTAATTTTAAAAATAATTCTATCTTATTTTAGAGACTTATTTTTGTTTTCAGTTATGTTTATATGTGTGTGTGCATGGGTATGTGCACAGGTATGGGTGACCTCAGAGCTCAGAGGCATTGGATCACCTTGTAGCTAGAATTGCAGGTGAGCTGCCTGATGTGGGTGTTGGGAACTGAATCAGGGTCTTCTGCAAGAGCAATATGTACTCATAAACACTGCACTGTCTCTCCAACCCTGTAAACATAATTTTTAATGGATGCGTAATTTAATGTTTGCAAGCGCCTTAATTTAACACAACACTTTGCTATTAGTAGACATTAAGCTTGCTCCCAAGTTCTTCCTACTCTGTCACTGTGTAAGCAACTTTATGTCTGTATTTTTCTACAACTTGGATTGTTTTTTTGGTAACAGATTCCCAAAAAGCAAAATTGTTTAGCCAAGGATGTGTGCCTATTGTATTAAATGGGTTTATAAAAGTGGCATGCCGGTTTTTACACTATGTTGATAGCATGCTGTTAGTGATGGAATGTCACCACATTATTGAGAGTACACAGTACTTAATGTTTTTGTAATTAGCTGATTAAAGAGATACTTTTGTTGCTTTCATTTGCATTCTAGTTACCAAAATAGCTAAACATTTTTCTTTTCTTTCCTTTTTTTGGTCTTTTTGAGACAGGGTCTCCCTGTAGCCCCAGCTGGCCTGGAACTCAACTATGTAGACCAGGCTGGCCTTGAACTCACAGAGATCTGCCTGCCTCT